CCCAATGCTCATTACAAGTGCTCTCCTTAAAGCCTATCATCCATTTAGCCCATCCCCTGTCTACTTCTCTTCCATCAACCCTCAGTTTGTTCTCTATAGTTAAGATTCTCTTATGGTTTGCCTCCCTCTCTCTCCCCACCCCCCTTCCCTTATGTTCATCTGTTTTGTTTCTTAAATTTCACATGTGAGTGAAATCATACGGTATTTGTCTTTCTCTGACTCACTTGTTTTGCTTGGCATAATATACTTGAGCTCATCCACATGGTGGCAAATGGCAAGATTTCGTTCTTTGTGATGGCTGAGTAATATTCCAGTATGTATACATATATACATATATACATACACCTCTTCTTCATCCATTTATCAGTAGACAGACATTTGGGATCTTTCCATAATTTGGCTATTTTTGATAGTGTTGCTATAAACATGAGGATGCATGTGTCTCTTCAAATCACTACTTGTATCTTTTGGGTAAATACCTAGCGGTACAATTGCTAGGTCATAGGGTAGTTCTATTTTTAACTTTTTTTTGAGGAACCTCCATACTGTTTTCCAGAGTGGCTTCACCAGCCTCCATTCCCACCAAGAGTGTAAGAGGATTCTTCTTTCTCTGTATCTTTGCCAGTACTTGTTGTTCCTTGTGTTTTTGATTTTATCCATTCTGGTTTTGATTTGTATTTTCCTGATGGTGAGAGATGTTGAGCATCTTTTCATGTGCCTGTTAAACATCTGGATGTCTTCTTTGGAAAAATGTCTATTCGTGTCTTCTACCTATTTCTTGACCAGATTATTTGTATTTTGGGTGTTGAGTTTGGGTACTTTATATATTTTGGATACTAACCCTTTATCAGATATGCCATTTGCCAATATCTTCCCTCATTTCATAGGTTGCCTTTCAGTTTTGTTGATTGTCTCTTTTGCTGTGCGGAAGCTTTTCATCTTGATAAAGTCCTAATAGTTCATTTTTGCTTTTGTTTCCTTTGCTTCCAGAGACATGTCTCGTAAGAAGTTGCTACAGCTGATGTCAAAGAGGTTGCTGCCTGTGTTCTCCTCTAGGATTTTGATAGATTCCTGTATTTCATTTCCGTCTTTCATCCATTTTGCATTTATTTTTGTGTATGGTGTAAGAAAGTGGTCCAGTTTCAGTCCTTTGCATATTGTACAATTTTCCCTCAAACCATTTATTGAACAGACTTTTTTTCCATTAGAGATACTTTTTCCTGCTTTGTCAAAGCTCAGTTGACCATACAGTTGTGGGTCCTTTGCTGGGTTTTCCATTCTGTTCTATTGATCAGTGTGTCTGTTTTTGTGCCACTACCATGCTATCTTGATGATTACAGCTTTGTAATACAGCTTCAAATCCAGAACTGTGATGCCTCCAGCTTTGGTTTCCTTTATCAACATTGTCGTTTGTGGTTCCATACAAATTTTAGAATTGTTTGTTTTAGCTCTGTGAAAAATGGTGGTGGTATTTTGGTTGGGATTGCATTAAATGTGTAGATTACTTGAATTGTGTAAAGATCATCCTGAATTTCTCTAAGCACCAGATCATTGCTGTTTTAAAGTCATTTCCATTGAAATACAATTCATCTTACTACTATTGGTTGTTATCTTACATAAAACATTTCATCTGCATCCTACTATGCTAGTTTGAGGCTAAGTGGCAAGTTTTATTGGGGTAAAAACTAACTCAAGTAAATACTAATAATTTAAAAGAGAAGTAAAATTAAATCAAGAAAGGAAGGGAATGTAAAGCATACAAATAAAAAAAATAAATAAAAAAATAAAGTGTACAAATAAATTATATATCAAGTGAGAATGTTTGAGTTTATTCAATATCACATTTGCATTCTGGCTTCGTGGGCTTCTCCATTTGTTTCATTTTATTAAAGCTCCAGTTTACTTACATTCTAGTATTTTACAGAAGGAGTCTGATATGAAAGTTGGTAAATGAGGCATTGCTCTATAAACAAGAAAAGCCTTGATAAATACAGTCTAAAATAATGGACAATTATCATTTAGAAGCTATGATTGAATTGAAGATTTTTTGGATAACACTCTAAAACATGACAGGGAAGTAGAGCATATGATGATGGTATTGCTCACACATGGTTGAATCAAATTTATGTCATGTTTGTGTGTACATTTGTATACATATTAACTTACGTCTCTATTCTTTTTTTAAAATTTATTTTTCTTTTTTTAGGGGGGGAAGGGTAGATAGAGAAGGAGAGAGAAAATCCCAAGCAGGCTCCATACCCAAAGTGGAGCCTGATGTGAGGCTCAAACTCGAAACCCTGAGATCATAACCTGAGCCAAAATCAAGAGTTAGATGCCCAACCAACTGAGCCACCCAGGAACTCCTATTCCTATTCTTTATGCTTATTCTATTATGTTCTATTTCTCTCCCATTAATCAATGCATTGTGACTCTTCCTTCTCGAGTTAGCCCCTGCCTTCATCCAGCAGAGGTGTAAGAAGTTTAAACTGAGGGCTTAGATGTGCCTGGCCCTGGGGCAACTCCAGAAAAATCTGGTAATATTTATTATTAGCCCTATCTTCATTTGGGGTTAGGAAGTCTCAACTGGTGGTTATCAAGATGTGGCCTTGGAACCAGAAGTATTAGTATTGCCTAGAATGTGGTAGAAATGCAAATTCTTAGGCCCTGGGTATTCACATATCTATGAATTTCAGTTTTCCTTCTCTGATTTTTTCATGACTGGGTGTCTGACCTCTCTGACTGGATTTCTGCCAATTCCAGATTTTACACACTAGTTCCCAGCTGAGATTTCCACCTTGTCTATTATAATGGAGCCCTGTCAGCCCCTTTCTCTAAATACATCATGGTCCTGTCCTTAATGTTCTCCCCTCCTGGCTGGTGGCCAAGTCTGGCCTTGAGTCAGTTGGGCCATTTGCAACTAATTCCCATTGGGGCATCTCCATGACCTGACAACCCCCATGCCTTCAGCAGACCATAATAATGCTGGCCTAGGCTGACCTCCAGACTGGTTGCCTGTGGATGCCATTGTTGACACTATCCTTCCTTATTAGGCCCTGTCATATAACCTAGATAGTCATTCTAACCTGCCAAAAGCCCCATTGTTATACTCCCCTCTCCTTGTTGTTTTGGATATCAAGAGACTGCATAAGCTATGACATCTATTTGAAATCAATAGTACCGTTAGAAAACACTAGAGGGGAGTTAGGTAAACAGTTTAGGGGTAAAACATATTATTGATTTGGGGGTGACCGCTTCAGGATGAAGAAAAACAACAGTAGAAAATAAATTACATTTGAATTTACTTCAGAAAATGTTGATGTCACTACTTCATGTTCTGAATACTCTAATTTACCTGATGGGGTACTTAATACTTTTATTTTGTAGAGATTAGGATCCTGTAAGTTTTGTTTTCCAAGCCCTAATATTTCCATGCATGGATCCCCCTACTGAAATTTATTTTCCAGAAACTTGAACACACCACTATCTTGCTAACACTTCACAGGGGACCTGGTGTTGTAGAGTTTAATGCAATATATGTGCTCATCCATTGGAACTTACAAGTAGCTACTACTGTGAAGGAAATTACAGGTCACATTTATATGCCTAGAAAACAATTCAACCAGCATTTCAAAAACACTCTCCATTCACCTTTGGTCAAAGTCTTTTAATGTGGTTAGCGATATTCACAGTACTTCCAGAAGTTCTTTATTTCCTTGAATTTGGTTAAATGTATGCATGGCCCCTTGGCCCAGTTTAAGCATAAGCTCTCTTGTACTAAAGCTTTGAGTCTTGTTTCTGCTTCTTCTTTGTCAGATGGATAGAAAATGATCAGTAAGTGCTTAACAAAAAGCAATTTACCTTGTGGTTTATTCATTTAATGTTTCATATAGCAATTATTTATTTAATCCTGCTATATCCTAGGCACTGTTTTGGTACTGGAATAAGAATCCTTGTCTGAATCTTTCTGGAAGTCATTTTCCAGTCAGATGGATCTTTTCCTGTTATATATGATGGGTATGGACTTGTCTTACAGAGATTGGGTGGAGACCAGGGAGGAGCTAGCTGCATGATCATCAAGATGTACGGCATTGAGAGATAAAATGTGATTTACCTGAAGCACTGTTACATTTAGGGATATGAAAATGAGAACCCAGGTAAAAAATATACTTAAATAAAGGCAAGAACATTTTAAAATAGATTTACCGATTTTTACAATTGTCATAAGCTATCCATTTTTGTCAAATTTCCACCTTGCCTATTATACTGGAACCTTGTCAGGCCCTTTCCCTAAACACAACACATATTTAAATATATAATTACGTAAACAAATACATACATACATACATATTTAAAATCAATGGATACCACCATCCACTATCTATATACTTTAGATTTATGACAATCATTTTCTAGGCATTTCTTGGAGGGCCCCTGACTGAAGCTTCATTGCCTTTTCCCTTGAGAAACTGTTTAACCTATGTCTATAGGATCCTTCTGGCTAAACATATGGTTCACTAATCAAATATATTTAAGGATCTCATTTGTCCCTAATTCTATCCCAAATGCTATAAGGAATTAAAAACAAAACAAATTTACTTTCTCCATGATATTACATCTTTTTTTTTTTTGTATAAATCCTGTTGAATTGTATCTTGAGGACAAGACCTGTGTGTTTCTCATTTTTGTAAACTCCAGGACATATTACTTGTATTCCATAAGTATTGTTGGATGGGGAAATTCATAGATACATAAATTTATTTCTAGAGACAGACCGTAAACAGCACTCCGAGATTTCTAGGACTCTTGGAAAAGTCAGTTCATTTGGTGATAGGTCTAGGAGAGGACAGACTGTTTCACCGTGTGAATGAAAGTCAACTTCACCCCAGGGAAAGTTAATGCATAGACCAGTCATTGTACCCTTGACCAAATCAGCAATACCAGAAATGAAACAGTGTAGCAAAGACTTGTAATGATATCCTTTGTTAAACAGTGCCACTCACCTGATCTGAAGCCAAGTCAGCATGGGGGTCGTTCCTCCTCCAAACACCCAGACTGTGAAGAACACGAGGAGCAGTGTGGTGGTAAACATCATTTGTTTGGGCTGAGATCCTGTGTCCCGAATAGCTAGGGCAAATGCTATTGCTCCTCGCAAACCTTACAGGAAAAATCAAGAGGGAATAAGAGAAAGTGACTATCTGCATGAATCTCATTCTCATTTTCCCATATTCATCTTTATAATTTTCTAACAAACACAATTACTTTTTTTAAAAAAATATTTTATTTATTTATTCATTCATGAGAGACACAGAGAGAGAGAGACACAGGCAGAGGGAGAAGCAGGCTCCATGCAAGGAGCCTGATGTGGGACTCAATCCCAGGACCCCAGGATCACGCCCTGAGCCAAAGGCAGATGCTCAACCACTGAGCCACCCAGGTGCCCCCACATTACTTTTTTAAATTGACCTTTTGAGATAATTATAGACTCACATGATATTGTGAGAAATAAAATACTTACTGCATGCCCTTCCCCACTCCCCCCCCTCCATAATAGCATCTTTCAAAATTAGTATTAGCCAGAATTCTGATATTGATACAGTCAGGATCCAATACATTCCCATCATCACCAAAGTCCCTCATGTTGCCCTTTTATGACTATATCTACCTCCTTCTCACATACCCCTTCCTTAATTTCTGGCAATCAGTAATCAATTCACCATTTCTATAACTTTGCCAGTTCAAGAATCAAATGGAATCATGCAGCATGTAATTTTTTGGGATTGGCCTTTTTCACTCAGAATAATTCCCTGGCTATTCATCCAGGTTGCTGAATGTATCAGTAGTTTATCTTTTTTTATTGTTGAGTAGTATTCCACTGTATGGATGCTCCACAGTTTGTTTAACTATCTATCTGTTGAAGGATATCTGGGCAGTTTTATGGCTATTAAAAAAAGCCTGCTGTGTTTATAAGTATACGTTTTCACTTCTCTGTGGTAAATACCCAGGAGTATAATCATTGATTGCATATTTTTAAAAGAAATTACCAAACTGTTTGCAGGAGTGGCTAGATGCCATTTATATTCTTACCAGGAATATAGAAGTCATTTAATTTCTCTGCACCCTTACACACATTTAATGTTGTCACTATTTTTATTTTAGACATTCTGGTAGGTGTCATTGTGGTTTTAATTTGCATGTTTCTTTCTTTTATTTTATTTATTTACTTTTTAAAGTAGGCTCCACACCCAATGTGGAGGCCTTAATTTGCATTTTTCTAATAACTGATGGTGTTGAACATTCTTTAATGGGCTTATTTATTTTCTTTATACCTTCTTGGTTGAAATGGCTCCTCATGTCTTTATCTCATTTTCTTTTTTTTTCTTTACCTTCTTTAAAAAAAAAAAAAACTCATGTTCCAATTGAATTACTGGATTTTTGGTTATTGAGTTTTGAGGGTTCTTTATATATTCTAGATAATATCCTTTGTTGGATATATAGTTTGCAAATATGTCCTTCCATTTTGTAGCTTTTTATTGATGAAGTCTAATCTTTTGATTTTTCCTTTTATGAATCATGTGTTTGAAGTCAAGTCCAAGAATACTTCACTTGGCTCTAGGTGCCAAAGATTTTCCCCTATGTTTTTAAATTTTATTTCTAAAAGTTGTATAGCTTTACATTTTACATTTTAGTCCCTGATCATTTGAATTAATTTTTGTATAAAGTGTGAATTTTAGGTTGAGATTCCTTGTTTTTTTTTTTTTTTTTTTTTGCCGATGGATATTTAATTTTTTAATTGAATTGATTTTGCAACTTTGTCAGAAATCAGTTGGGTATATTTGTATGGATCTATTCCTGGGTTCTCTATTCTATTCCATTTATCTATGTGTCTGTCCCTCAACTAAGTACTCTGTCTTGATTACTATAGATATATAGTAGCCCTTAATATTGGATAGAATGATTCTTATATTTTGTTTTCAGAATTTTAACTATTCTAGGTCTTTTGACCTTCCACAAAATTTTAGAATAATACTGTGTATAGCTACAAAAAATCTTTCTGGGCAAATTACTTTTAAAAAATCAAATGTGGGGATCCCTGGGTGGCGCAGTGGTTTAGCGCCTGCCTTTGGCCCAGGGCACGATCCTGGAGACCGGGATCGAATCCCACGACGAGCTCCCTGCATGGAGCCTGCTTCTCCCTCTGCCTATGTCTCTGCCCCCCCCCCCCCCGTGACTATCATGAATAAATAAATAAAATCTTTAAAAAAAGAAAATAAAAAAATAAAAAATCAAATGTGTCAGACAATAAGGAAAACCAAGCTTATGGGCCATTGAAATTAATAAATAATTAAATAACATTTAAGAACTATTCTAGCCTGAGTACATACTATTATAAAGTCTATAATCTAAACTATCTATTAAACCTGCTTTTTTTCTTGTTTTTTCTCCTTTAACAACAATATGCTAAGTGAGTTTTTATGAATCCACATTAAATGTATTTGCAAGAGGAGGTACATTAAAACTTCAAATCAAAGTGTGATGACATGAATAGAACAGAGTTGAAGACTTTGAAGAAGAATAAATAAAAGCACAAATAGTAAAGTAAAAAAGTTAAAATGGAAGATCTCTTTTGGGTAACACAAGACTTACAAGACATTTACGGGCCCTGTCATATCAGATAACAGGGCAAATAACCATTTATAATGACAGTAAGAAAAAGTCAAAGAAGTAGGGATTTGGTTATTTTTATAAGAAGGTTTGAATCATGTACGTAAGATTTCAGTGTTCCACATTTTATAATATTTACTATATCTAAATTTCTAAATCTTTATTCATACATTAAAAGAATTTTAGAAATCGGACACAGGTAGGATGAAAACTATAACCTGGGTTCTTGACTTAGATATAATGTTCTTTCTCATCTCCATGCCACCAATATACAAGAGAAAAATGGCATAACACAAGATCGAAAGGATTAGGCTAGGGAGACTTAATATATTTTGCACGAAACAAGGAAGCTTCAGAAAGAGGAACATGCACTCTGATTATAAAATACCTTGAAGGAACAAAATGTAATGGAGGAAGGAAATTATTCTAAATTTCCATGTAGACAAGGAAATGGCCTTAAGATAAGGAAGGTAACATTTGAAGTAGATACTAATATAAAAAAATTCTTATACATCAGAAATTCTGAACACTAGAGATGACTGTACTCAAGAAAACTCCCCCATCAGAGATTTTCATACATTCAGGCCCAGCTAGGAACAAAAGAGTGGGGATATTAATAACTCTTAATACTGGGAAATATTTTAATAATGTTCTCTCCTGGAAGTACAAATGGTGTCATTAGGGAACAGAAACTAAAAGAAACAATCTTGCAACAGACTTTGGGTAGCAGAGGAGAGAATTTATAGGTCAAGGTAAAGCTCCGAGCAGTATCACAGTACAAGATTGGAGATAGAAGGTGATCTTTTCATTTTCTCTTTTCCTCAAGCTTGCATTGCTAGAAATGTTCATAAAGCAGCATCACTCCAAATTAGGTGGTGAGTATTAGAAGTATTAAGAGATGAGACTATGTATTTCTTATTTTATTGAATATGTGTGTTTTACTCTGAGTTTTTCTGAGAAAGAAGAGACTGGACTAGAATAAAAGAAAAAGTAGTTCTATCATGCTTATTGTAAACTCTTTCACATTAGATATCAAGGGCAAGAAAGTATACAGTCATTTTTTTTCTAAATATGTTTGATGATGTATTGTTATTATATTAAACTACCATAACTAGGTTCTTAAAGCTCAATTATCTATACAAGAACAGTTCTTGGTTTAAAACTATACTCAAAAGATAGCTGTTATTTTGACTTTTATGAAATATATATTTCATATATAAAACTTGATTTTCTACAGGAGATGCAATGTAAAGATCTTTGAAGATGAAAAAAAAAAAAAAAAAAAGGAAAAGTTCAGCCACCACCTTTTACTTGTAGCAGGTTGGGAAGTCTGCTAAAAGGGCCAAACTCCAAAATGTTGGCAAGAGGATACATTCTCCATATAACAATCATCTGAAAAACCGCAGAAACAGGATGCTTTTAGAGAAGGGATCATTTGTCTGTAGCCCTGGTCAATGTGGCACATATGGCATATGCCACTTGTGAGATAGGTTGGCACCATGGGAAACATGGAACTGAGACAGTTGAGGTTGCTAAGTGGACAAAGTAAAGCTATTTTAGAACCCCAGATAAGAACTAATGCCTATATTCCATCCTTTATGATTTCAAAGTTATTTATTACACATTTGGAGCCTAGATAATTGTCAATCAGTGGTCATTCATTGCTTCATTCAATACATATACGTGTCTTAGTCTACCATAACAAAATACCATATGGGCTGCCATAGCGAAATACCATAGACTGGGTAGTTGCAACAGTAAAAATATATTTCTCACAGTTCTGGAGGCTGGCATATCCATGATCAGAGTGTCAGTGTGGTTGGGTTCTGATGAGAGCACTTTTCCTGGCTTTCAGAAGCCTACCTTCTAAAAGCAAGCTCCATATGGTGTTTCTTCTTACTAGGGCAGCAATGCCATCATAGGGGTCACACCCTCATAACGGTGTGGGAAACAAAGGCAAAAGAAAAATTAAATTTCCTTACTACTTATAGCCCACCGACAAGTCTTTGAAACAGGCAGAGTGACATTCCTCTAGGAACTCAGCTGCTTCGATGTTAATGCTTTGCTAGGGGCAAAAGACAATCTTAGCCTGACCCCCAGGATCCTACTTTAACTTCTAAAAATTCCTTTGGAAACATCCTTTATCTTTACTCCCCAATGTATATGTTGGCAGTCATCCTCCAAGTACATGACCCAGGGATACACATCTAAAGATTCTCATGACTCAGATTTTACTGGACAGGAATAAACAACCTTTTCCCAACCATAGCTAGTCCCTTCAAGGTTCTGGAAACTTTGCTTCCAAAATTCTTTAGAGGCTATCCCTAACCCCCTCCCAACTACTCCTCATGACTCCAGTGCAGCTCTTTCTGCCCACAGGTCCTGTCTCCATGTTTTAGTAAAACCACCTTTTTCCACCAAAGATGTCTCAAGAATTTTTTCTTGGCCATTGGCCCCAAACTCCAACATCTTTCCCACATCAATAACATCAT